TCACACCTTTCACTTGATCTCACAAGATTATTAAACGACAATGGACATTGTCCATGCATTATTTTAAAACCTAACGTTAGTCGATATACTTTAAAAATATCCTCCATGCTTAAAATATTCAAAATCCTTAATCTATATAAATATGACGTGTCCCAATTTCCTTCCTTTCTGTACATAATTATTCTAGTTGCCTTTTTTTGTACCCTTTCTAGTCTATAAATATTTGAAATTTCAGTAGGTGCCCACATGCAGCAACAGTACGTCATAACCGGTAATAGTACGAATAGATTGGTTATTTTTCAGGAGAACTGTTGGGTTTGTGGGAGTGCGGGGGTCCGTCCGAATTTCCAGGAGACTCAGGACCCCTGGGGTAGGTGATTTTGGTACAAATCAATTGATCTATCAATCAATCACTCATTCAAACCATCAATCAATCAATTCATCATTATTTGATTAATTTACTACAGATAAGTAGTTATCAATCAACAATCAGCTAATCAACAAATCAATCTGTTAATCATCTTATCTTATATTTTTAATGTAGAAACTAGTTATCATGAATCAATAAAAAAATTATATAATTAATAAATATCTATGATTACTATATAATTAACCCACTTTCTAATTTACTATAGATAAGTAATTAATCAAGCAATATATTAATCCATGTAGAAATTTTGTAAAATTAAACAAACATCGTAAAACCTCAAATTGAAGCCCTGGGCTTTTTTTTTTTTTTGCAAACTTTAGATGGGCTTCTTTTCAAGATGGGCTTCTTTTCGAGGTTAATTTGGCAAAGTAAAGAGAGGGGCTTCTTTTCAAAATGAATTCGCTGTAAATTTTGTGAATTTGTCCTATAAAACAATAATACGGCCACTGTAACATCAATCTGCATCCTGGAGTGTATTTAACTGACATTAAATCACCTAAACTACTGTATAAACCAAGTTTGTTTTTAATTTATTTTGTTTTTTTGAAATTCATGTACAGTGACTGTGTACTATCTCGAAAAGTAGCTTATGCTATCTTGAAAAGAAACCCATGGGCTTGTTTTTTGAGATGGGCTTCTTTTCGAGGCTAATTTTGGAAATAAAAGAGGGGGCTTCAATTTGAGATGGGCTTCAGTTAAAGAATTAAGCCCACTGGGCTTCAATTTGTGGTTTTAAAGTAATCAGTTGCATATTGGAAACCACATAAAAATATTTAACCAATATATTAATCAATTAATCAATCAAAGAATCAATGAATCATTAATTTAATTTACTATTTATAATTTAAAACAAATGACATACATGTTATTTCCATTTGCATCTTCATTGTTAAGTTTTCCTGACTTTGGCTTCAAGAGCAAATATTCTGGGTGAGACAATTGCCCTGGCAGCCTCCCTAATGGATACTGACTCCATTGTATATCAGCTGAATGTGAAGATAAAATAATACAGTATAGCATGATGAGCAATTAGATTATTAACATAGTTATACCTGATAACTTAAAAATAACCTTTACGCATATATCATAATTGATTAATATCATGAGAACACAGTATATTTTAAATATTTTAATAACTAAATTTAGTTAATGTGTTCCAATAATTTTATGGAATTACATAATTAATAGACTTTTGTGGTTTATGCTCAGCTAGGACAATGTATGTGGGTCACTAGGATCATAGTTGCGGTCCTACCCCAATATGCGTAGTTTTGTTAGGGCAGGGATATGCAGGTCACGGGTACCTTAGTGGAGTTCAATAATTGGTAGACTGAGCACATGCTGGTAACGCTATCTTTCTAAACTTTTTAAATAATAAAAAAAAAAAAATGTAATCCTTAAATAATTGTATTTGTAAATCTTATATTAATTTTTTTTATGAATTTATTTTATACGTTTTGTAAATATCAATTAATTTAATTATCGCCTAATTACAAATTTAACTTCTTTATACCTGTTAAAATTTTTACTCAGAATCGCTGATTTGTAAATATTTTGCTTCAATGCTTCTAAATTGCATATAAAGTTGTAAATATACCCAATTATATTCTCTCTTAGGCCTAATCCCTTTTTTGCCTTATTTTTGAGCTTTTCGTAATTTTTTTACTTTGTTTTACTTCATGAAATTTTTAAAATTTATTTAGTGTTTGTGTCCTTTTTTGTGATGTTATTGTACTGTGTTTTCTTAGTCTATTGTTCAACTTCAATTTTTTTATGATAAAAAATTGCAATAAAGCTTCTCGTATCTCGTATTAATGTCCCTCCCTCCCTCGGGAATGCATAGTTCGGTTTTGTTCACAAGTAAAGGTAAGGATAACTAGGCCCATATTATAGAAACATCTCTACCCCAAGATACATAGTTAGGTTGCTGGTGTATGGGTCCCTTAAAAAAACGTAGGGGAGGTTAACATCCCTATCCCAGAATGTATATCTCTGTTAGGGTGGGGTATGCGGGTCACTAGAGGAGTAACAATGCATAGTTCGGTTATGTTTACAGTATATGTGGGTCGCTGGACTTGTTTGAGTTATGTTTCTACCCAGGATGCATAGTGTAGTCTGTTAAATTGTTACCATCAATCATCATCGCTGTTGTAACCATTGTTCACACGTTACCTTTGCTACGCTGCCATGCCTCGCAGTGTTTATCGCAGCTCCTTAGTACCTCATCGTCTTTAGTCTGAACTTTGTTTCTGTCCGATGCACTTGATTGCAAGTATTTTGAGTCAATTTTATCAATAGAGAATGGTTGCCATGGTTCATGGAACACTTGTGGTGTCTCCACCTCTTTGTCAGTCTTTCCTTTATTGTTTGTCATTTCATCTTCATTTTCCCCATGTAAGTTAAACTGATTTAGATAGATGACTGTGAGGTCAGTAACATTTGCTTTCACCTCTGGGGTCAGTGGTGGCTTCAAATAATCTACAAGTCTGTGGATGGGAAGTATATTTGTGATGAGAAAATAATAATTTTATGCTTTTATTTACAAAGGAAGCACAAATAAATACAGTAAACAGCAATAGCAAATCAGGATTGTAGTAAAATTGTATTATTATAATTAATAATTAATAGTAATAACAATAACAATTATAATGTTAATAAAAACAACAGTGACATTCATAGCAATAATAATAATAATAATAACAATGACGATAATGATAATAATAGGTAAAGGAAATAATAATAATATTTATAATAATAATAATACCAATAATAAATAATATTCACAATAACAATCAAGTTTTAACCTGGTTTTAAGAATTAATAAATAAAAAAGTAATGTTTATACTATCAATATTAACAAAGTACTTATATATAGTTCAGAAAGTATATATGATCTGCAGTACAGTGTGTCTAGATTAGTGGATAAATCCTGTTCTTTCATAACGCAAGTCCACTTGGAAGCAATTCAGGATGCAAACTTTATCAGTAAATCCATCACCCATAAAACTACTTGTCTACCTTGATCTTAATCTTAACGACTTCCAATGCAGTGGCTGCTAGTGGGACCAGTAGGGGTGGGGGAGGGGTCGTTTAGGCCTCGTTGGTAAAAGAATCTCCCCATTTTTTTTTTTAAATTGGGAAATATTTGGTTTTGATAGATCAATTGAAAAAACTATGAAAATTGGTTAGCCATGGTGGCACTCAAGCCATATTGACAACTTTGATGGGTAGCTGCTTAGTAATGAAGCAGTATCATCTGTTACAATGACATACTATGAATCAAAACCACTTATCACTATCATTATCATTATCATTATCAATATACATCCCAAGATTTAAGTACCTCCTTGTACTTTACAAAAACAAAAACTGTAGCAATATAAGGAAGACAAACAAACAAAGATAAAAACAGAACAGTTTAAACTCTAACACTTATGAAGTACGGTTGTGTCAGATCTTGCATATTTGCATGAAATTTTTATTGCACAACATTCAGACCCTTGTCTGGCTTGATGGGCGATTGAGGAAGTAATGGTTTTATATGAAGTGATAAACAAACATCCTACAAAACCTCATAATAGCATTTTTCCAAAGAATACTTCTTTTTATTGTATAGTAAAAGTAATGAAATTAAAATAGCAATTAATGCAAGTTAGCATACTTTATACAGAGGAAGCTGTATGATGGTGGATTGCGATGTGAAGTGTTTAATGAGCGATAACATCCTGTTCAAAAAGGTCAGGTCAGTGATATCGTAGAAGGAGGATCATGTGTTATGAAACGTGATCAACAAGATATCAAACACCTTGCTTTCACAAAGGAGTAAAAATTCATTAATTTTCCATCAAACATTATAATTTGTATACTTAAACTCTGGTTCTGTTTATCAGATTATACTTTCCATGGGAAGTAGGTTAACTTGTTTCATGTTACAGTAAAGTGGAAATGGTGAATGAGAATGTGTACAAAATGTTAGTAGTTACCAGTTTTTACCCACCAATAATGAAAATTTTGAATAAAAATACAATTTTATTTTTGGTCAATCAGCGCACCTGCTGGAAATTTCAGAAAAAAAAAATTTGTTTTCCTTTATTTTTATTTATACACCCGCCGCTGCCTTGAAATCTCCAGAAATAAGATATGCAAAATAAGGTATAAAAACAGTCTTGACTAAGGGCTGTTTTTGTTTTACACATTGCATTTATTTGGTCATTATTATACATCACTGTTTAGTTTAAATTTTATCTGTGTCTATGTTAACTCTTATCAGTTACTGGTTGCAGAGTTCTCAAGTTTTATTGCTACGGAAATTTTACCTAATTATGGACATATTATGGAAATAGACAAATACACTACAGAAATTTATCATTAGTCCTAGACCCAGAAATATATAGGTATATACATTGTCTAATATCCAGGACAATGATTTTAAAGATATAACATATGTGGTGAAACATGAAAAGAAACCCCCTCAAAAATACAATCAAAAAAATTAATTGTGTTTTTAAAAGAATAAAAAAAAATTATTAACTTGGATTATAAACATGTATCAAAATAATTCAGTTTTAAATGATTTACAGACACAATACTAAAAAGATTTCTTAAATTGATAATCAGCAAATTCATGCGAACAATTTTGGTAAAAGTAATTTTTTTTTTCAATTCAGTAGTGAGGAAATTTTTTATCTTTCCATTATATTAGAAATTATATCAACAAAAGGTATTTGATACTGAAGAATGGTTCAATTGCCCTTTGTGCATATATAATCATGCGTGCAAACAACACAACTGCACGTGTAATGCACTCAGATTGACCAGGATGTGACAGAGAAAAAAATTAAAAGAAATATGGAGAGGCTTCTGACAAGTGGAGCTTATAACATTGTAATACTATCTATCCACTTCCTACTAAAAACATCCTTATTTCTACACTTTAATATGAAATTAAATATTGATAGTTTATACCACACACACAAATATAATACACCTCTAGATGTGTATAAGAGACAGATATATATATGATTTTTGTCTTTAGGCTCTTCCATTTAGGAACAGATTTAACCTTTAAAGGCTTCTGCTCTGCCCTATTTCTAGCTTTACAACACGTTATCAAATAGGCCTACAAACTAACATATGTTACACTATCAGTATCAAAACTATTAAATAGATTGAATTGTTGACTTTCATGTCATTATTTGGAGTTTAATGTTAACCTATAGATGATCAGGCACATTCTAATGATAAATGAGTATGAACTTCTTAGCCAATGAATGTATGGAAAGCTTGGGATGTTAAGATTTTTCGTAGACGAATCATTTGAGATAAAAAGTAGATACCGAATTTATTTGAATAAACACACCACTTTAATTTGGAATAAACGCCTTGCTCGAACAAAATCCAAGAGTGTTTATTTTTTTCTTCGAATAAACGGTGCATAACATTACATAATGGTATGTAAGGAATCCAGATGGGGATGTTGGGTTGGGGACCTAGTGTGGCAGTGGCACCTGGAATATATTTGTTCCCATTTTAAGCTTGTCTGTTTCAAAATATATTATGCATAAAAAAAATATATATTTTTGCTTCAAGTTTTTAACAACAAGAGTGTAAGATCATCCCTTAATCATCATCATCCCTTTGGCAGCACCACTAGAGAGGAGAAAGAACATATACCAGTTTCTAGACTCTCTGTTAATACACAGTAGATGTGCTGTGAAGGTATGGTGTGCAAGATTCACTTTATGTTTGATGTACAAATTTCAAATGGAAAACAGCATATTGGTTTCACTTCTTCTTGCTCAATATCGATACAAATTTCATTTGCATATGGTAGTTAATTCGGTGAAAAGTGATGGGGGTATCAGCACATAAATTTACAGGCCAGTAACCAAGACTCCTTAATTTGGAGGATACCCAATAGAGCCCAGGCTACAATGGGGCCGATGCTCCAACGAGGGGTCAGATTTCCCAGATTTATCTCCCAGATGGGGGCCCTGTCCCCCAGCCCATCGCTGGCGCACCCCTGCTGAAGATGAGCTCTTGCGAATGACAGTGCTGACCCCTTTAGAATGTATTTGGTGAATTTCATCGTGTTATTGGTTTTTTTTTTTTTTTACGAAAAGGAAGGGGGTGGTTTAGCTTATCAACAGGTAGGTTTGGCTGAGCCATAGAAAACTCAACCCTTCATCTGAGCACTGTCAGTGTATTTTGGAAAGACCTTTTTTTAACTCTATTAATTGAGATCAGTGAACCAGGCTATTGAATTGCCTATGCCTGGATTTGTATCAGTTATAATAGTCCATTATATCATTTTTTTTTAAAGATATAAATAGCGCAGTTGGTTCAGCAGTATTTGTTCAGTCTCTTAATCCTGAGGTCAATACCTTCACTGTGTATTATGATTATGTCCTTGAGCAAAGCATTCAGCATACATTATTCCCAGGAAAGTTAAAAAAACCCCATAAGGTAACCCCCATTAACTGTAGCATTGTGGCTCAAACGCAGCATAGAGCCCTTTCTGACTTGCATGTGTCTTTAAATTGTTACGATATTTTTATTAATCTGTATTATTACTAATTTAAACCTCTGCAAGTTAGCTTTCAGGCTTTCAAAGATTATGTCAAAAAATGAGAAAGGAATACAGTATTATTTTCATTATTCAGCTTAATTGCTATAAAATCACTACACGCTATCTCCTTATGGCAATGCTATATAGGTCAGTTAAATCGGGCAGTCTTCCCTAGTGTGTTGAGAATAAGTGACAATTACTAGCAACTTTATGGAAACCAGACTATGTCCAGATTATAAAATTTGACAAAATGCCCATATATAGTCATGATGTACCTATATATGGTCATTATGTAATGTCATCATGGACATATTTAGGTATGTCACAGAAGGGTTTTTTTTTCAAATAAAATTATTGATGCAGAGCAGTAGCTTGGTTATAAAATCTTGCCTTTGAAGCCCAAGGTCTTGTTTTTAAATCCAGAGTTTTTCTGACGATTAAAAATAACTATTACTTCCTAATCCTTAAAATAATAATAATATTAATAACTAATAATCATCATTATTATTAACATTCCTCTCTTTGGTTGGATCATGAGTTTGGTAGTTTCTATAGGCAAAAATGTAATCAATTATCTAATATATATTTAAGAGGGGTCTTTTTAATAATTGAAATATTTGCAGTAAAGGGTTAGGGTTAAGGTTACTTTTTTATCAGTATAATTACATTATATCAATGCCTATATGAAATTTGTTCCCCCTCATTGAAAATGCCCATATATAGTCATGATGTACCTATATATGGTCATTATGTAATGTCATCATGGACATATTTAGGTATGTTGAAGGGTTTTTTTTTCAAATAAAATTATTGATGCAGAGCAGTAGCTTGGTTATAAAATCTTGCCTTTGAAGCCCAAGGTCTTGTTTTTAAATCCAGAGTTTTTCTGACGATTAAAAATAACTATTACTTCCTAAT